CCTCCTGACCTCTGCATTTGGGTCCTTAAAAACCACAACCAAGCCCTGACAGAAGGAACCAGCCACCAAGGACCACGCAGAGCCAACCAATGAGGCAGGAAAATTACTTTTACTCATTAGATCCACACTGGAGAGTCTACCCTTCATCAGTCCTCCTTGGAAGCGGGTGAGTGCAGCGGAGCAGGTAAAGGAGAAATTGGAATGTTTCCTGAACTCCATAGCTTTTTTGTTAAGACTGGTTACATCGCTGAAGCTATATGGAATATACAGGACGCTTTTGCTCAACTACTCAATCAACCTTCACCACCCAGACCACAACTGATCGAACCTTCTAGTACTCCCCCTGTTACCCCAGTCACAGCTGTTTTTGCTACTGCTGTTTCTCGGATGCCATCTGCTTCCAAACGCAGACACTGCCGCCGGGGGAAGAAGGCCATTCCCTCTCGGGCGGGTCAGCTTGATGCCTCCACTCCCTCTCCTGCAGGTCAGCCTGTAGTTAGACTTACGTCACCTCCCTACCAGGTCAGTTTACCCAGTGGTCCATGATCAACAGCTAGCCTCATGAATAAGAAAACTCAAGCCAGGTCCAAGTATCACACCCTCTTCAGTCAGAGCTCAATTTATGCCTAATTTATGGGACTACTTTTATGGGGAGAGAGAAGACTTTCTCCCTTTCCTGCCACCTCCATCAGCTCCCTGCTAGCCAGCTGTCTCCAAAACAGAGCCCTTTAGCGGGCCAGTCCCCGAGCCAGAGCCATTTAGTGGCCAGTCCATGAGCCCGAGCCCTTTAGTGGTCCAAGAACCCCTGAGCACATACTGTGCCATCCAGAGAGCCCTGAACCTAAGGATAGGTCTAATGGAGAGACTGTGAACTGTGAGACGTCCAGGGTTGTGAAATCTTATGGCCGTCCTCCAGAGACTCTTTCTCGTCTACCGCCTCACAGCTAGAAATGAGTAACAATGTCTTAAATTAAGTGTATTTACCCCTAATTTAAGTAGGTAAATAAGATGATCTGGCAATGGAATTAGTATTTTTCCGCTTAAATAGATAATTAGATAATATGCACTTAAAATAAGACAATGCAATGTTTTTTTTTTCTTATTTTAAATCATGTTTTAAATGTAAATTGTCTTCTTCCATTGGCAAAGTGTCTTACTTAACTCCTCAATTCAAGAAAAATGCACTTATTTTAAGAAAAAAATTACGTATTCAGAATTCAATTTTTTGCAGTGTTCAACCTTAGCCCGACCCAGGAGACGTTCCATTGATTTGGAAGACCTTAGCTTGTTCCAGTGCCAAACAAGACTCAGCTAACAGTCCTCAGTGATTAAAGACCTCCTGCCCTGATATCCTACATTAGGGGTTTGCAAACTTTCCAGCCAAGAGGCACTTTGTAACCTCTGCAATGGCTCTTAGTAATAGTCTAAAATTATTTAAAGAAGCAACTAATGCAGTATGATAACAAATGCCAGTCTTAGAAGCGTTTGCTAGTTTTTTTTTTTGTTTTTTTAGAATATTTGTTTGAATTTTCCCAAAGAACCAGAGATGTGCTTTTAGATCTGTTTTTCTTGTCTTTATCTTGTAATTTTCTCATAAAGTAATACCCTATGGAAGAAAATCCATTCTTCATCTTATTGAAAAATTTTCTGTTTTTCCTCATTTTAAAAGCTAAAACTACAAATGAACTGTTTGTTTTTAGAAAAGGCAACTGGCTTACTATTTCAGATATTTAACATAAAATAATAAGCTATGTTTTTATTCTAAAGAATATATTATGTCATGAAAAACCTAGAGTGACGTCTGTTTGTCCACCTGAGCAAGCAAACCAGCAGCTATAAGGACCACCCTGCAGTTTGCTTATTTTTGTGTAGACGGAGTTAATGATGTCATGATACACCTGCTTCAACAAACCCACTGTCATTTAGACAAGGCATACAGCACTTCTAATCATTCTTTTTTACTTTAAACATGATTCAGCCTGAATGACTTTTTCAGAAAGGTTAGGCATTAATCCATATTAAAATGTTCATGACAGTGTTAATAAAACAATTCTCAGCCTGAAAGCAACCTTTACATATACGTAAAAACTTAAATACCAACTTCTGCAATTAAAATAGATGTAACTTGATAAGCAGGAGTTTGGATCCTGAAGACACTACCACCTGACTAAGGGATTTAAGATGTCCATAGTTCTAGCCCTGCCTGGAATTATATCACAAAAATGATTAGTGATTATTTGTTCAAAAAAGCAAAATGTCAGAGAGAAGATCAAATAAATATTTGTTAAATGAGATAGATAAATGAGACTGTTTGCCATCTGGTTGACATGTATTGCTAGCAATAAAAATTGAATCTTACTGTTAAAAACAGAATGGACAGCTGATGAGACTGTTTGCTTCTAAAGTCGGCACCAGTGTTCAAAAACCTGACTAATGGTTCCCCTTGTTTTTTTTTGGTCCTCCTAAATCTGAGAAATGTAACACAGATAAGAAGCCATTTTTCAGAGCTATCAGGAAGCCACTACGATCTGGCAGCGCTGTGCATCACATGACTTCAACTTCCCGTTACTGGTTCTGAATCCTTTTACGCCTACATTGGAATCGTAACCAGAAATAATTATATATTTTGGACCAGTCAAAATGTATGAAACTATTATTTTGATCATGTGCTCATTGATCATCTTTTTATAAAAGTAAAATTAATTATTCAGGGAGAGTAGTGGCCTAATAGTTAGAGCATTGCTCTTGAGTCCAGGAGGTTCTGAGTTCGTGTCCCACTCCCACACACTGCCACTCTGGGTCCCTGAGCAAGACCCTTAACCCCAGACTGCTCCCCGGGCGCCCACAGTGGTAGCCCACTGCTCCCCAAAGCGATGGGTTAAATGCTTAGAGTTAATTTCCCAATTGTGATAAAAAAAAAAAGGATTTACATTTATCCTGCACAACTCTAGACATACTTTCAAATAGTTGTTTGTTGTTTTTTTTATTTAAAAAAAGCAGCTATGACCTTGAACAATCCTATCTTATAAAATCTGTTACACCACTGCAGCTTTTTCCTTGTTTTCAATATAGTACAAGCAGTTACAAGTCTGGATTTAATACAAAAAATGTGTTATTATTTTGTTTTATTAGCCATCTATTTTTGGCCAAACTTGGCCAGAACATTTCATTTTAGTTGGTCCTCCAATGGCAATCACTGTGCATGAAAAATATTTTATCTGATTTAAAAATAGTAAAAATATTTTTTCTTAATCTACGATTAAATTTGGCAGTTAAACTTTTAAACAAATTTGTATGCTATCAGTGTAGGCATTTCATTGTGTGCGTGAGTCACACACAGAAAACATTGCAAAAGATGTCTTCGCTTAGTGCTTAACTTGACAAACAACATTGCTGATAGTGATAGCCAGTGATATGGGCACAAACGTGCTCATACAAAACATTGTCAACTGTCATGATTAGGCAATATAAGACAATGTTCGTCTGGAATCTAAAATGATGGGATACAAATCCTTAACTCTGAATAATACTTATAAAAATGTATCAAGTTTGCGTTTATTGAATTCTTCAATAACTATGTATATTTTGAATCTCTCTTGCTTTCTTTCTCACATATATCTAAACAAATGACAAAGAACAAACATTCACAGACTGTGACCACACAGGTGAGTAAACAGTATGTTCCTGTACTTTGGAGCGGTAACTTAGTTTTAACCTGCAGTGCTTGAGCACTTGTGTCATAATCCATCAGATCACTAAAAACGGCAAAAATGGCCGGAGTTTGTCTGCTGGTTTTCATTGTTTATATTCAACTGGGGATATCTGGACTGAGTGCTGACACTGCAGAGGACAACACAGGTAAATAGCCACATCCATAGCATTGCTTACTAAAAAAAAAAACACACCAGATACATAGAACCTATAGATCCTAAGGTGAGTTTCTGCCGGAGGATTTCTGTTTCCTTTCATCAGAAATTCTCTTTAGCTGTAAATAACATGTTTATCTGTAAAGACAGTCAAAGTCATTTCAAAATAGGAAAACTGAAATTCATAAAAAAACAAAAAACAAAAAAAAAAAACTCAACAGATTGGCTCACTGAAAGCAAGAATATACTTGTTCCTGTAAAGCAGTGATTCCCAACCGGGGCTACTCTTACCGCTAGTGGTCCACGAGTGCATTGCAAGGGGTACATGAAAATATTTTATTTGTACCTCAAAAACACCTACAGGTGCTTGGATCCGGTTAGTTACATACTCACCAATTTTTCAATTCAATTCATGTTATTAATATAGGGCCAATTCAAAACACATGTCATCTCAACACACTCTACAGTTCACCAGATCATACAGTCAAATTGATTCTATTTAAGGAAAACCAGTTGATTACATCAATTCATTGACTCGAGGGTAATCCCTCACACTAAGCATGCTTGTAGCGACAGTGGAGAGGAAAGACTCCCTTTTAACAGGAAGAAACCTCCAGCAGAACCAGGCCAAATAGAAAGCTGTCTCCTTTTATCTTCAGCTACCACTTAATGCATTCTGTATTGAATAATACTGTAATTTGCTGTTTTGTATCAGTGGTTCTATATCATTTGGTTGTGCTGTTCTTTTTACATCTGTCTTTGCAGGTAATGAAGCAAACAGATGAAGTTTTATCA